ACCAACTTTTCAGTATCAGATTGGGATAATGATTTACGAATAGGATTAATATTTCTTGGATGGGAATATCCAGATCTACAAATAGTAGAAATGTGTTTCCATAGATAGCTGTGAATCAAACAAGACACCTAAGTTTCTTGCACTTGACAAAGCACTAACCAATTCTTCACCAATTGCGATACTAGACAAAGGACACGAGTCTTGTGAGAAACTCAGAGACGATATGGACACAAATTCAGTTTTCGACACATTCAAAAGTAGGAAATTACAAGACATCCAATCGCTAACATCTTGAATACATGTCTGAAGTATCACCCGGGCGCGAATTTTATCATCTTCAGAAACCGATAAATAAATCTGTGTGTCATCGGCGTAAAAATGATATTTTACGTCGTGACGTCGCAATAACTCGCCCAATGGACGCATGTACATTGAGAACAATAATGGCCCTAAAACGGAGCCCTGTGGAACACCGGTTTCTAATATAGACGTCATATCAGAAAATACATTTCCAATTTTCACTTTTTGAATGCGGTTACTCAAATACGACTCAAACCATTTGATGATGAGACCATTTAAACCAAAATTTGATCTCAACCTATCGATGAGAATCCTGTGATTCACAGTATCAAAAGCGGCTGAAAGATCCAAAAGTACGAGAGCAACTGAATACTTAGAATTATCATTACTGCATAGTACATCGTTAGCGACCCGCAAAAGAGCCGTTTCAGTGCTATGTGCGGTCCGATACGCTGATTGAAACAATTCATACAACGAATAATTCTCTAAATGTTGTTTCACTCTGGATGCAACGACACGTTCATAGACTTTAGATATAAAAGACAAATTAGAAATCGGTCGATAATTTTTCAGCATGTTTGAATCCAACGGTTTAATCAGCGCACATTTCATTTTCTCAGGAACACTTCCAGTGCGAAGTGATTCATTTATGATATCTGTTATAGGTGAAAGCAGGATAGAAAGGATCTTTTCATCTTTTAATATATTAGTGGGTAAACAGTCCAAATCACACGAAGCCGACAACGATTTTTTTATAATTTTAATTATTTCATCCTCCGTGGCTGGTTCAAAACATTCCAATTCATCACCAGAGAACTTGTGCAGTTCGTTAAAACGGTTTCCATTCATTAAATTTAGATTTAGTCCTTGATTGATTTTCTTAATCTTATCCACGAAAAACATGCTAAAACGATTCGCTAAATTTATTTTGTTATCGTGAATCGGCAACGCATTCAAATTATTTGTCGAGCCTAAAAGACCATTTACGATGGAAAACAGTTTTCTTTGGTCACCATTACAATCCGCGATCTTATCAGCGAAATAACTCCTACGTGATACATCAATAAGATGTATTTACTTTTGCGGTAGTTTTATGAACGATGGCTATACCACCTCCAGCACCTGTAAGACGAGGAAACTGTCTACACTTAAAGCCACTTGGAGTCAACTCAACGACGACAGGTCCGTCACTGACATCACCTTTCAGCCATGTTTACGTGAGAAATAAATAATCCAAATCATGATATAAGATCATCTCATTTAATGCACACGATTTATTCCTAACTGAACGAGAATTTAATAATCCACATTTTAACTCTGACATAAACTTCGATCGGGATGTGTGCTGTAGGTCAATAGAGGTCAAATTGGTAGAGTCCACTCTGAAATTTCCAGATTTGCGACGATAACGATAATGTTCAGCAGAAAAAACGTTGTAAATAACAGGAATAATATTAGCATCATATGGCTCATGTACAGTGGTATTAAACCCAGATAATCTAGGAACAACAATAACTTGGTTGTCCGAAATCGGACATGTAGTCAAGTGAACAGTAATTGGGTGCCTAATATGCGATCTCGCTCGTCGACAACGTTGTCTCCAGATGGAATTATCTTTAGTGGTTTGTATAACATGTTAGATTTGCGAAGTGTTGCTTGCGTAGTTTTAGTAACTGTAGTGTGTTATAAACTATTCGTGACGACATGTCCAGAGTTGCAATTATCAAAGCAGTGTCAGTAACAATTAAAAAATCGCGGTATCTGCAACAGGTTGTACGTGGAAAAACTTGTTTCTATTCATATGGTAATGAACAATGTGGTGATTTCAGCATGGACGTCATGCGAAAAAACGTTTTGGACAGAATTCACGGCAGCACAAATATATAGACGAACAGCAACGAACCAAGGAGTTGCACTAATACTTAATATAAACGAGGAATCCAATGAAGATAATCACACAAAACCATAAAATCGTAGTAAAACTGGACTCTACTTACATGTATCCAAGCTGGCAGCAGCAAAACGGTGCCCTCAATTCATTGAGTTTACGATTTGAATAATTGTTGTTTTGCATATATTTGGTATGACAGTATGTTCGTAAATATCTAGAAAAATCTTGTCTTTCGTTAATAATTTCATTTGAAATGTCTGCCGACAGTGTCCCAATAATTTGTTTGGAATATCGATCCAAATGGTCCTGACGTCTGTCATTCAACACAATCAGCATTTATTTATCGTAATTCATAAGGATCATGTCCTGTAATTTGTAGGCTGTAAAACTAAATAATTAAGGTAGAGATGCAGGTTTGTGGGCACTTAGGAGTTTTTTCTTTTTATTATCCAAACAGTCTTGGCTATAGACTGTTGAAATTTTATAGAATATTGGAACATACTCAAAAAACGATAATATAGATAACCAGTGCAAACATTCTCCCTTTTGAATGCTTAGCAAGATTTAGCAAGGCTGTACATGAATAATAAAAAAAAACATGGTGAAAAAAAGAAATGACAGGATCTCCATATTATGCACTATATTTAACTTTTAACAAAACGATAATACATTTAAATTAGGAACTACATGTATTACAGCCATTTTAATTATGAGCATTAGCACACTTCCTACTGAGTGAATTGTTATGCAAACTAGCAATTATCTCGACTTCTTTTTAGTGCACATCCCAAAATAGCTCCTAGACGCTTTGACCTTTTGTTTTCAAATTTTCACAAGTGATTGACAATGTGTTTATCTTCAAAACGCTGTCGGGCATTGTTTTTGGTTGAACAGTGTTACAAGAATCGTACAGACAACTAGCCTGGGTGTTAATTTATGCATAAATTTTTTTTTAAATGACTTGACCAAAAAAAGCACATTTTTGTGCACATTTCAAACTACAAATTTTACAAACAAAATTTTAAAATTCATACAATAAGCTTTCCGAAAATATATAATTTTGTGGACAACGGAGGTCATCTTGGTTTCCTAATTAACTAATTAAAATACCTGTCAGGTAAACTGCACCTCTACCTTAAACAAGTACTATTTATTAGTCCCAGTTGGGACGAAGTCTGAAAAAGGGGACTTATAATTCGGTCTCCGTCCGTCCGTCCGGAGTCGTATCTCAGAATCCCTTGGACCGATTCCTTTCATTCTTTGCATGTGCCTAGTACTTTATGTGGGACATATGCACATGCAGTGGTTTAGCAATTCGATTCAAAATGGCCGACTGGCAGCCATCTTGTTTTTTGAAAATGTTGTATTCTGGACATGCTTTGTCAGTTTTCATTCAAACTTGGTACATAGATTATACATGTTAGGATACATGTCCATGATGATTTATTTCACAATTGGATCAAAGATGGCCGACTGGCAGCCATCTTGTTTTTTGAAAATGTTGTATTTTGGACATGCTTTGTCAGTTGTCATTCAAACTTGGTACATAGATTACATTGTGTATACACGTCCATGAGGATTTATTTCGCAATTGGATGGTAGACTGGCAGGCATCTTGTTTTTGTTTTTTTTATGCAGTATCTTGGACGTGCTCTGTCAGTTTTCATTCAAATTTGGCACATACATGTACTTTATACATGTTAGGATGCATGTCCATGACAATTTGTTTCAAAATCTGGTCAAGGATGGCCGATTGACAGCCATCTGACTTTTTGGCCTTACTACTATATTTCCACAATTTATGTACCATTTTCATTCGTATTTGGCACATACATCATACATATCAGTGTGTTTCATAATCAGATCAAAGATGGCTGAATAACGGTTGTTTTTATTTTGGCCATATTACTATGATCCGAAACATGTGTTTTGATGTAAATAAACAATCTGTTGTATACGCCACTTGGAACTCAAGTTTCAAGGACACGCTCGCGACAACCTCTCCTCTCCACTTAACGGGGACTGTCATTTTCAATGACTTGTTGTATATATTTTTTTACCTCGGAAACTACAACAGAGCGTAGAGTTGTAGCGGTGAAACAGCTACATTTTGTACATGTAGTCGCCTTGATAGAACTTTAACTATCCATTTCTCACCTTGAAAAAAAAAAATCGAAGAGCATCGGGGGATATATTATTAACCAGTTTTACCAATCGCTAGCTTTATTTTATTCGAATCTATAAAATTCAAGAGTTTTTCGACATTTGTTGACAACTTCCATGCTAAAAATGGTTGTAAATGTGGGTGTGGTTCTCTCGCAAAGTCATGTTGATAATACGGACAAATATGGTTCTGTAACCCAGGTCGTGCTCCGATCAGGTGACTCTCAGCCAATCAATGATATTGTAACAAAGCATATTTGACACAAATTGAAGGGTCGTCGTACCATCCAATCTTCGGCGTCGATTCAGTTTGTTTGTGCTGTGACAGGCACGTGTGTTTTGCATGTATTTAATAGTAATAGTAATAGTCTGGGCATGGGATCGGACTCTGCTAGAACTAAACGAAACACAGAAAAATACAACCAAAATGAGGAATCTGAATCTGTTTTCTTGCAAGCAAATAAAATAAACGAAAATAAGGTAATTTTATAACAAGAACGGTTTCATTTCGTATATAGCAAATTGTGTTGTATCCGATTTAAATTTATCACGATTTTCCTTGCAGTCAATATGACACTCGTCACCTTGCCGATTGTAATGTACTTCACAAAGTTTTTGGTGCCCAACACTAAAATAATTGAACAAGATATCTTTTTAAAATGTCATTTTACTCTTGATCATATTACTTTATTCCCCTTACAGTCTTGAATTTCAAATTGTTTACATATCGAACTTCAGTACATGAGGTCATACTCGTGTCACAATACTTTGAAGCTGATGCCATGTTGATGCCATGAGACTGCGAAGCTGAGGCCACGATGATGCAACAAAATAAGCGAGGCGAACACTGCTTTAATTGTCAATGACGCGAAGCTGATGCGACAATGAAGCCATGCGTAGGCGACAATGATGCCAGAAAAGCCAAAGCTTTCGGGAGAACTGTACGCAGTATATAAAAGCTTTCTTGTACCGGTATTTTCACTCTACATTCAATTTCAAATTTATTTACAGGATATGGTGCAAGAGTTAACATCAGGTCCATGTATTGCCTTGGAGATCACAGGAAAGGGGAAACAAACACCAGATGAATTCCGTGAATTTGTTGGTCCAGCTGATCCTGAAATAGCCCGTCACCTACGTCCACGTACCTTGCGTGCTGTTTATGGACAAGATAAAATCCACAATGGAGTGCACTGCACAGATCTTGCTGAGGATGCTTTGTTAGAGACAGAGTATTTCTTCCGCATTTTGGCTCAGTAAATGTAATAGTTTTGGTTTTGTAAACTTTTTTGCATCAATATGTAGTTTCATTTACTTTATGCCATACAGTTAAAAAACACAGTGCTCTTGTCTTAGTACATAATGCTTATTTTTTGACAGAATCATCTTCAATTGCAATGATTAAGTACTGAGAAATAATTGTAAACTCGTAGTTGCTGTTGACATAGGAAGTAAAGTAAGCAAATAACACCGGATAAACGGCAAGGTACGCATGCAGTACATGTTTACTATAATTTGACCTAGTATTTACCTTGCTGTTTATCCGGTGTTATTTACTTACTCAATTTCAATGATTTTTATCTCATTAGGGAATGTTTATTGATTTGTAAATTGTCTGATACATTTTGCAAATACAGCTTGCATTGACTTTTTGTATATATAGTATCCAAAAGTAGAACCAGTGGTTGGGTCGCATGTGTTTCAGTTCCCAGCCAGATGACAGAAATTATGTAATAATGACATTATGAAAGTAAAGCTTATTGTCGTTTACTAATTTTTTTGTTCATTTTTTAATCCTGTGTGCGAAGAACACAATTGCGAGTCTTTGCATCTGTTTGTGATGTCAATGTTGTGACGACTTTCATTTAACTTTACACCAACCAGGTAATGTAAGCAATGACCCACACTATTTTCATAATCATAATTAAATCAAATTTAAATCAAGTTTGCATAGCTTAGGGTTAGTAAAGGGGGAAGGTATGGTACAATGTAATATAATTGTACCATACCTCTACCCCCTTCACTAATCCTAAGCTTCGCAAACATTTCTGTGTTAAAAGCAGACATTTACTACCCATGGGTTGGGCAGAGCTTCGTATTCTAATTTAACTGATTATTCAACGACGGCAAATGTCAATCATTCATTAAATGTAGATAGTCCTAATCTTTTTTTTAAGCTCCGCTGTCGACAAAGTCGACACAGCAGAGCTGTTCATATTACTGATTGTCCGTGTCGTCGTCAACTTTACAATTTCAACTTCTTCAAAACCACAAGTCAGAATGTTTTCAAATATAATATGCAAATACCTTGGATGGTTCTTTCTCAGATTTGTTCAATTCATGTTAAAAACTCAAATTCTTTAATTTTAGTGAAAAGTGATATTTTTAAATTCTTGTTGAAAATAGCTAGTCTGATTGCGTTGATGCTATACATATTCTTCATTTTCTAATGATATCTTCAGTTCTTAAGGTAGCGAGACTATTATTGGTGTTGAAAATTAAGATTTTCACATTTATTTATTAATTTATGAAATGCACTATAAACTTTCATGTGATAAAGTCAACATAACATAGAATGTCATGTAAGTTGGTTAAAACATAGACCCTCCAGTATGGAGGGTCTAGGCTCCTATTCAAGTAAATTTAAGATATATCTCGTGCTGTAGCCACGCCCACCTATCCTGAAACGGTCGACTGTTTCCGGATTTCCGACTCTCGCCGAAAGTGCACCACCAAATGCCAAAATATGAGAGGAAGCCATACTCCTGAGCTGTACTTATATAACACTGCGTGATTCAACATACTTTTAAACGATATACATTTTTCGGTCGGCATTTCTTTTTTTTGTCCATTTTTTTTTTTTTTTTTTTGAGATAGAGAGTTTTTAGAAGTTGTTTTCAGAACAAACGTTTGTGATGGTTAAACGTTGTGTTGTGGGCGGTTGCAGTAATACGTATAGTCATAGTGTAAGTATTCACACTTTTCCAAACGATCCAAAGGTGCGACGTCAGTAAACGAAAGCCGTGAAAACAATGAGAAAAGGTTGGGGTGGACCTTCTCCTTACAGCGTCGATG